ATCAGTCATTCAATTTCAGATTCTAAGACCCACAGAATCTAAATATTAGAACCAAAAAGGCCAGTTTCTGCAACACACAATGCTAATTTTGAGGACATGGAAACAGAGTGGTGGTTAAGGAAACTGAGTGCCTGAGTTTAAATCTCAGCTCTGCCATTTATTAGCTATATTCCTTAACCTCTCCAGACTTCAGAATGCAAACTGAATTCATGGGGTGTCACAGGTAATCTGTGTTAAAGCATATAATAAGATCTCAATAAATATTAACTGTGAGTGGGCCCTGGCTGGTGTGGCTCAATAGACTGAGCACTAGGCTGCGAACCAAAAAGTCACCAGTTCGACTCCCAGTCAGGGCACATGCCTGGGTTGCAGACCAGGTCCCCGATTGAGGGCATGTGAGAGGCAACCACACACTGATGCTTCTCTTCCTCTCTTTCTCCCTCCTGTGCCCTCTCTAAAAATAAATAAATAAAATCTTTTTAAAAAAGAATCTTTACCATATATACGTGTGTGTATAGGTACACACACACACACACACACACACACACACACATATATGCTGTGATTGTAACAATGCATCATGCCTGAAAACATCACTTCAACATTTTCCAAAAGTTAGGACTTAACACAAAACTTAAGGGAGAATGCTTCCCAGACAACCCACATGAAAAGTCTGTAGAAAAAGAGCCCCAGGCTCAGGTCAAAATGTTCACCTTCCTACTAAATCCCAAACTCCAATAATGAACTTTTAAAAATATCCATGAATATGTACAAATTATTCATCTCACTCGTTTGTGGCCAGGGGAAAGGAGTTTCAAACTAGAGAGCAGTTCATGGTTAAGCAAGTCCCAAGAAATGAGTGCTGGGCGCTGGTCAAGCCCTAGCCCTCCTGTGAACAAGGGGGAAGGAGCTGGTGACTCCCTCACACCACAGCTGTCCCCGAGAGAGAAAATGCTCCACATCTCGGTGCCCTGAAGTATCAATGAGGTCCCCACCCACTGGGCACCAATGGGCCCCAGTTTGTTGACCTTCTGGGCCCAGAAGAAAACAAAGGCTGCAGGGACATGTGCTATTTTCATATAAACAAGGTAGCAGAAGCAAAGATTCTTTATTAATGATATGAGTATCACCTTTTTTTCTGAACAAGGCATAGAAATTTGTTAATTTGGATTTAAGAATAACTTGTTCACTGCATGCTGCAAATTATCCTTTTTCTGCATTGTAACCCGCAACTGTAGCTGGCACTGCCGATGAGCACTACCACCAACACCAGGCAATTTGGGACATGTGAAAAATGCCCCTGGAAGATGGTCTTGTACCTCGGAAACACGGGAACATACAAAGGGACACACTCTCATAAAATAATGCCACTGCTAAAATTCTCTCCAGTGAATCTCTTAGTCTGCATACAACACCATGAACAATACAAGCTGTCCAGTCCTGGGTACACCGAGCAAATGCTCTGGAGAGTTTCACCTGTACCCTATACTCCCCTATAACAGTTCCTTTAACTGTAAAGGAACTCAGGAAGCACTGAGGGGCAGTATTCAATGTGAAAGTACCTCCACTCATAGCAAAGGGAAGCCAAGGACAGCTTTGCTTGGCCCGGCCTACAGGGGAAGCCTTGAATGTTGAGAACCCTGAAAGCATCAATGATTTGAAGTTAGACTGGATGCCCGCCTTCTGTGAACTTGAGTCACATCCTGAGGTAAACAGATTTGGGTCACCTGCTGCTAACCAGGTTATTTTTCACAACTGACTGCTTAAACCTCAAACACGTCTGAATTCATTTCTTAAAATTGGAAAGGATCACCATCCATTATTCACCTCCTAATCCAACCCAAGCCCAGAGAAATGCTCTTTTCATAGTTGCCAAATGACAACATTACCTCGGGTAAACCTTAAACAAACAAGTGTCAAGGCCAAAGCGCACACACTAATAATGTTCACACGGTGTTTGCCTCAGCACTTCCTAACCAGGACTGATCACCCATGGCCACGACGGAGTCTTGTTTATGAATAATGTGCAACAGATGAGTCCAGAATTTCTAAAACAAAAATAAATCACGTCTAAAAAGTAGCGACATCTTCGATGTATTTTTTAATGTAATGCCAGGCTAAATCCCACTCACATATTTTTCCATCAGGGCTAACAAACATATCAAGGCTTTATAAAGCAAGTAGAGCCATTCGTGGAAAGTATCTCTAAATTTTCCTTTTTCAATGAGCTGACTTTCTGTCTTACTTCACTTTTATTTCCAAACCCCCAAGATTTACTAGCCTATAAAGATTTCCAGGGTATCCTGTGTTTTTAATTGCTAGTATTTAAGCGAAATTGAGCCTCTTGAGTACCCTGTGCATCATAAAGTATGTATTATTCTTTGGCCACAAATGAAATGAACAGGGCCAACAAAATTTTTCTTAAAGCCAATACACATTCAGATTTGCAAATCTACCTTCTTATGCTTCCATTTTTTAAAAATCACTCAACTGTGGAATTTCACCTTAAAACAAGGTTATTTTAACTTTGCAGCTTCAATCACTCTCCCGTATTCAACGGCCAGGAAGAGAGCACTGATCTGTTCACAGAACACACAGAGATATTCAGAATGTGCCATTAAGAGTAAATCACTGAGTAAATAATGCACATACATGTTTAGGCATGAAACCATAACATGCCAGAGCTAGAAGGCTCTGAGAGAGCATCAACCCAATGCCCTCATCCTGTAGGGAAGAACAGGTTAGCTTCGGAGGTTAAATGATTTGACCAGGACAATGGCGAAAACTCAGCCAGTGACAAAACCTGTGAGCCAGGTGTCCTACTTACTAGTCCAAGAGCTTTCCATGGTACCATTGTGCTCCTTTTAGCACAAAAGCATGTATTAATGACATATCTAACATGCAAGACAAAAATCATACAGGATGGGGCAAAAGTAGGTTTATAGTCATTCTTATGTAAAATAACACAATAATTAATAAATGTCAATACAAGAATAAACTGTTTCATGCATTCATGCCTGTAAACCTACTTTTGCCCCACCCTGTATATCTGTAACATGACTTGTGGATGAATATAAGAAAGTTGTAGAAGAACACGCACCAAGCCACTAAAAATTGGTTGGGGAGGTATAAATTTATTTTGCATTGTTTTGCTGATTACGTTGATATGTTGTACTGTTAAGTGCCAAAGAGGAATTTACTGACTTTTAAGGAGTTATCTCTTGATTTGCAAACACTCTAAGAAAAGAAAAGATGATAAAGTATTTCTTGTAAGAAGAAAGTGTACTTCCTTTCCTTCAGCAGGGAACATCCACCCCTCACTCCCCAAAAGCCAGCCAAACCCTCCCCTTCAAGGTCCAGCCCAACTGCCAGCTCCTCACAGAGGACTTCCAAGCTCTTAGGCCAGATCCTCTCTCTTCTTTTCTGGGTTCCTCCTTCCTAACCTTTGCAGAAGTCTCTCCTACTAGAAAGCAAGCTCCTTGACAGCAGAAATCCTGTCTTGCTCACCAGGCAAGTGGGCTTTGCAAAGACCTCTGCATATACTGCATTCATCGCAATTAATGAACTGCAGTATTTGTTCCCAGAATCCCTCTTAGAGTAATTTTCCAGATCTCCCTCTTCCCCACACCAACACCTGGACCTACTCAAGAGTTATTCCGGAGTGGAAATCCTGGATCCCCTGCACTGTCAGGCAAACCAGTCTCTAGAAAATGAAATCGTAATGCCCATTACCTCCCCTGCCTACTTACCGAGTGTTGAACATCCTTCGACATCAGTGGAACTAAACTACATTTACCTAATTTTATTAGATAAACTACATTTATCTAAATTTATTATTTAGGTCTGTGACAACATTCTGACGCCACGTTCTCTAAGTGTTAATCTGATTTTTTTAAAATCTCAGAACATCACTTATTAGAACGTATAGCTGAAAACGGCGGATAACACTAAATGCATGTGAAACAGAAGGAAACGTCTTTAAAAGCTACTGGGAATATTATACTAGATAATCTTCCGTTGTCGCTCAACGCAAGTTTGTGGATTTCTTTTTTCTTTTTGACAGAGAAACACGATAGTCCCTAAATACAAGAGCTGACCTGGCAGAGTAAAATCTGCACATCGGGTCCTCTTTAATGCTATCCTCCTTTTGATCATTAAGCAAGAATGAGTACTCAGGCTTCTCGTCCAAGTCTCAGGTTTTCCAAGCCCAGGGTTGAATTAAACCCCCAAAATCTTAACACCACAAAGTTGACCCTTCTGGGCTCCTAACAAACACAAAGAAAGAAAGAGCAAAGGGAAAATCTCTACCAGATGCTGATGCTAAAGCACAACAAACACGAGTAGCCCAGGGAACCTGGAGAACAGACCAGCGACAAAGCCAACCAAACCCCGACCCCGACCAGACGGTGAGCACCGGAGCGACCCCACACTCCCTCGGCCCCGCGGGTCCCGAGCCTCACCGCAGCACTTCTTCCTTCCATCTTCCATCGCCCGCGCCGAGCCCGCCACCGCGCGGGGAGCCTCAAGGCGGCGGGCGGCCGGGTAGGCGGGCGGCCGGTGCTCGGGGTCGGGCTCCCGGGACTGCCGAGTGAGGGGCGGTGGCAGGAGCCCCGAGGCCGCAGCGGTGGCGGAGGCGCGCACCCTAGTGGAGGCTGCCTGCTCAGCCCCCAGCGGTGTCGAAGCTAAGGCAGCGGAGGAGCGTGGGCAGGACGGCGCCCGGGGGCGTGGAGGGGGCGGGGTGGCTAGGGGCGGGGCCGGGCGGGGCAGGGGGGGGGGGGCCGGCGGGGGGGAGAGGTAGTGGGGGGAAGGGGGAGGGGGAGACTGAAGGGGAGAAATGGGGTGAGAGAGTTCGGGACACGGGGGAGAAGGTGCCCGGGGTTGAGGCAGGAGTGCGGAGTCGGGTAGGGAGACAGAGGGGCGGAGAGGGTAGGGAGGGTTGGGATTGGGGAGAAGCGGGAGGAGCCCCGAGGGGGAGGAGGCGAAGGTGAGAGGGTGGAGGGGGCGGTGCCTGGAGGACCCGGACGCTGAGCAGTGGGGAAGGGGAAGGAAGGGGCTGGAAGAGGGCGGAGGCCGCGGCTGGGGGGAGAGACTCCAGCGAGGTAGGCGGAAGGGGGCAGCGTGCCGGGAAGGGGCGGAGAGGGCAGAGTGGGCAACGGCGGCCGGCTGCCGCCTCCGGGCGCCGAGCACTCACGCTCCGCCTGGCGGAAATCTGCCTGTTGCTTTGTCTCGTTCGCTAACAGTTTTCCCACCCCCAAGAAAAGTAAGGGGCGCTTTGGCTGGTGTTTCTTTTAAGGAAGGGCCGGGAGTTGGCCGCCGTCCTGCTCCGTCCCGCGAGGAGTGCCCAGGCGTCCCTTCGGGGCCTGGGGGTATGAAGAGGGGTAACCTCCTGGGTCCGTGTTGTATTTTGCCCCTTGAGGGAGCTCTATGGGCGACCCATATGAGATCTATTGCTCCTCGGGACGGGACTCGCCTGGGTCCTGCAATCTTGTCTCGAGACTGTCCTAACCGAATATGCGTACCGGGGCATAATTCACTTCAAAACTGCATGTTCAATCGAAAATGCCGAAAACCCGTGCTTTTTTGTCCTCTTCCCCTGGACTGTGTGCTGTAGAGGCAGTCTGCAAGGGCGCCCTCCCCTGGCAAAGGGGACAGGAAACCTAAAAACCACCCTCTGTAAGGTTTATTAGAGTCAAAGAGTGGTGGTTCACCTTAAAATTCAATGTTTGCCAGACCCGAGCACCTGGAGATCGAACCCCATGTGGCCAGTAGCGTGGGGCTTGCGGTATGTGTTACAGCTTTAATGCCACCAAGACTAGTCTTCTTGTGACCCATAGAAGATGCCCAAATAAAGGGAAGTGGCCACCACGGTCAGGCTTTGAGTGGGTATGAAGGGTCAAGTTCCTTCAGGGCCCATGGAACCAGCCCACCAGGACAGGACGCAGCCAGGCACATGCTTCCCCAACTTTTGCTTTGACTGCCCCATTTACACCTATCTGTCAGCCAGTGGTACCCAATAGAGAAGCCTGAATGAGGATGTGGGAGCATTTACACAAATCCATTTCCGTTTCTGAGAAGTGATCTCAATCCATGCTCCCCTGCTAGCACAGCAGTTTGGTCAGATGTGTGGGTTTTAAAGCACCCAGTTATTTGGGTATATTTCTCCTTTATGGATCCTACCTTCACCCTTACAGAAATACCTCAAGAAGTCAATCCCTGTGTGCCCATTTCCATTAAACTTCAGCTTCTTTGAACCTCGGGGTCTCATGATTTTGTTGGCAAGGAATCAGGAGTATGAACATGTAGGAAATAATAGTTGCTACCTGAGGTCTCACCACTGGCCCAGTGGCCTTTAACTGGGAAAGTTACCAACATTTTATAAAGGGAGGAAGGTAGAGGATTTTAAGCTGAATCTAAAACTATACCAACTATTCCCACACATACTATTTATACAGCAGGCTGGGCGGACATAGATTTACATGAGTTTACTAGTTAAGGGACCTGGGAATAGATACTTGTAATCTGAGCTTCTCTGTCCTTAATTGTAAAATGAGGATAGCGATAACTTGCAGAACTGTTATTAGCATGACAGACTATGTAGTGCTCCTGGCCCATAGTAAAGGTTCAATAAAGGGACATTTCAAAAATTAAGCAAGCAACAGAATATGTTTACCATTTTCACCACTAAGAAATTTTTTTCTCCCTGAATCCGAAATGCTTCAAGGTCTTACTTACAAAGGTGATTACATCTATTAAATAATCATTTTCCCACCTTAAATAATCAAAGGTATAAATGATGGAAATTTTAGTCAACATAAATCAACCCATATTACAACTTCTGAGTTGATAAAACACAAAGAAAACCAAATAAAGGTTGACAGTCCATTTTGCCAGCACTGTTTTGTGTGTAAATATTTTGTTAGGCATTTTAAAATATTGAAAATAGAGGAAGAATCCTCATTTCTGCTATTCTAGCCCCCAGGGATGCCAGGCACCCAGCTCAAATAATCACAACTGTGCTCAAGGTCAGTGTCAGAATACACAAACATCCACCTTGGTAAAAGCAGGGAGGGGGTACACAGGCCAGCTGAGCAGCAGCCTCTAAAGAGGCATGGGCTGGTCAATATTTATCCACATAGCACCGTATTCCTCCCCCACACTCTGCCCAGGAGCCTGGTACACATGGTGTGGAAAGAAAGAGAAACTATGAAGTGGGCAAGATGTTAGATACTGGAGGTCAAAATAAGAAATGAAAATGAAGTTAAAGTTCTCTCATGTATAAGTCATTCATACAGTCAATCCTTACTGTTTCTGAAGGCCAGTTTAAAATACCACATTGTGGACTTTTGGGGGGAGGGGTGCAAAACTGAATATTTTTTTAGAATGGGAAAAAATGTCAAATACAAATTTATAAAAGCTGACAAATTCCACACACATTACCAACTCCAGAAAAACCACACATTTGTATTAACTGTCTTCATAATATTTTTATTAATTAAGCTCCTAAAATACCTCCATCATACTTTCCCTCATGTGTTTTGGTTGCGTACTCTTGACCATTCCTTTGGAATACTTTTTTTAAACAGCTCTATTGAGATATAATTCACATACCATATAACTCACACATTTGAAGGGAACAAGTCCGTGGTTTTTGAGCAATTATTACCGCAGTCAGCTTTAGAGAATTTTTATAACCCCCCAAAAGAAACCCTATACTCCTAGCAATCACACCTGTTTTCCCTCCAACCCTCTCGGCCCCTGGCAACCACTAATCTACTTTCTGTCTTTATGGACTTGTTTATTCTGCACATTTCATAGAAATGGAACCAAGTATATGGTCTCCTTTGTGCCTGGTTTCTTTTATTTACCATAATGTTTTCAGTGCTCATTCATGTGCAGCATGCAACACAACTTTATTTTTTTAATTGCCAAATAATGTTTTGCCATATGGATAGGCTGCATTTTATTGATCCGTTCATCAGTGGATGGACCTTTGGGTTCTTTCCACTTTTTGGCTTTTATGAATAATGCTGCTACAAATGTTTGTGTACAAGCTTTTGCATGGACGTCGTATTTCCATTTCTCTATAGTAGCATTTGTGGGTCATAAGTAACTCTATTTAGCTTCACTGCCAAACTGTGTTCCACAGGGGTTGCACCATTTTATATTCCCATCAACGATAGGTTTCAATTTCTCCACATGATAGCCCACACTTTTTATTGTCTGTGACTTTCACTACAGCCAACCTAGTGGGTGTGATACGGTAGAGTGAGCCTGTAATGCAATTTTCTGCGGGTACAACAGAAACTCAGTCCAGTCTTTCCTCTAGCATGGTCGATCAAAGGTTATTTTTTTATTATTGACCTTTTAGAAAGTTCCTGCCTCACAATCATTGTTGAAAATAGCTTCTACAATTTCAGTGTGTTGTCAAATTTGAGAAGACTTCTTATGTTTCTTTCATTTGTGAACTGTAGGATTTCAAGACATTTCAGGGTTTCCTGTGCAATGATTACTATTCAGTGCTTGAAACTGAAACTCATTAACTCGTTTTTATTATTATCATTGAGTTTTGTCCTTTCATAGATGTCAGTTAATTCATGTCAAAATAACAAAGAGAAAATATTTTTTCATTTTGTTGTATGGTTCACACTTCATTATGTACATTCTCAGAGAATCTATGAATCTTAAAATATGCATTTTTTAATTTTTTTATTTGAAATACACAAAGAACTCTAAACTTTACAGTATTTTCAATTAGAAGGGCTCTTTTTCAATTAGAAGTTATGTGTGCTTCAGTGCATAAATAGGATGCCTTATAAATCATATTCCAACTTCACACAAAGAATTCATCTACTAGAGTAGAGGACATTAATTCTTATTGTTGCACTTGTTGGTTCTAGCACTGTGCCTGGCCTATAGTAGGGGCTCGATAAATAATTTTTGGATTGAAAATTGCTATTATTTAAGGTAGAAGTATTCAACTTAAATATCCAACTAATTTTCAGCTCACACACGCAATAATCTGAAGTCAGGTTGTACTTGAATTTCAGCAGCCCAAAGTCAATCTAAGACGCCATGTGCAAGACAAAATGCACCACGGCATCTGACTCTGCTGAGTGAGTTCCCAGTGAATGCTGGGTAAATACGAGGATTGGGAGATAAAAGCAAAGAGAAAAATGCGGTTAATGTGCTTGTGTGACTGTAAGGGGCAGAGAAATTGGGAAAGACGGAAGAGGAAGTAGGTACTGCCTGCCCTGAAGCAAGTGCACAGGAAATGTTCAATCAGAGGATGAGCTGTTGCACAGGACGAACTCAGCTCACCTTTTCCCCATGACCCAAATAAGTTTCAGCTTATTTTTTATTATTTTTTCATTCACTTATTTTTTTATTTTAGCTTATTTTTAAATTATTTTTTCATTCACTTATATTTATTGAATATTTATTGAACATTTACTATGTGCTTGGTATAGTTTACTGACTGCATCAGTAAACAAAACATCACAGTCCTCATGCAGCTTACAGTCTAATGAACTTGGGGAGACAGAAAATAAGCACATAAAATACATGATGTTTTATGGTAATAGACTTTTTAGAGAATAAAAAAGAGGATAAGGAATAAGGAGTGTGGGGTGGGTGGGAGTAGATGGTTTCAAAGGATACTCAGAAAAGACTGTACTGAGAAGGTGAAAGTTGAGTAAAGACCTGAAGGACATGACAGAGGTAAATCATGCAGATCCATGAGGAACCGGACATGCAAAGGCCCTGGTGGCTTTCCTGGCAGGTTCTGGCCAAGCACAGAGGTCTTGTGACTAAGACTGCGTGGGTGCAAGGAATGGGTAGTAGGAGATGTGATGAGTGGGGTCTGAGAAGCTATTGTAAGGATCTGGGCCTTTAACTGACTTTGGAAGATTTTGAGCAAAGGAATTATACAATCTGATTTATGTTTTACCAGGGTCACCTTGCAAGATGTATCAGAAACAGGGAAGTGAATTAGGAGGCTAAAGCCACAATCCAAGCAGGAGATGATGGAGGCTTCAACAAGGTGGCAGCAAAGGAAGTGATAAGAAATGTTCAGATTCTGGTTATATTTTGAAGGTTGAGC